AGCTGACGTTTCCATTGAATTTCACATAGCCTTGCTTTCCCAAAAGTTGCTCTCATCCAGGCACCAGTGGTCTGCAGTTTTGACCTCGCATCGGTCTTATCAACACCCTCAGCGGGAGTCGAACCGCGACAGTACAGGATGGGAGGTTGACACGCTAAATACTCGGCTACACTGCCACGAGTAGCCTTGAGTCACAGGGCATAAGTGAATTTCAAGGAAGGTCAGGCCTCTTTGCTATATCATATTCTTTGGTGGGAATGCCGATGAAGCAAACGTATATTTGCTATAACAATCAATTACGTTACTTATTTTCGTATTAGAGTAGAGTTTCGAGACTACCAGTAAATCAGTAATATGAGATGTGGGGAAATTCTACTACCAGTCGTTCATCACCTTAGACGAAATAGGGTGAATACATCTCAAACGAGCATTGTCAGAATATATTTGTCTGAGTATATTTCGAGACTATCGTCGATTCTAGCTTAAAAACTTAGCCACCTTAGGTCAATTAAGGTGTCGAGTGAAGAGATCCGAAGGTTGATATCACCAGAAGACGACGACGGATTTCTTTTGCTCTACATTTGCATGGTTTCACAGCTACATTGAAGTTAATGCGGTCTAATAAATGTCATCCTTCAGACTGGACTTTCGTCTGTCATGCTGCTGGACAGTAATCGTCATGGCAAATCTTATTCTTCAAATACTTCAAACAAACACCATCCGGCTCTTCGCACACATTTCCTCCAGAAGAAGAACTGGAATGAAATTGTTGGTTCCGTTTCATATTACTCTGGTTACTTGTATGTTGGTGGGCGTGAGTGTATTTTTGACTTGGTTTTTGCTTGTAGCTTTTATTTCAGGAATGGAGATGTCTGTCATGTGGCCGGACAGACGCAAGCTCAGCCTTCAGTTCACCGGAACCGTAGGAAGCTGTCTCGTGAACTGCATCAACCGGAAGGTGGCAAGGGAGTCAAACTACTTCAGAGTGACTGAAAGGCCATTAAACTCCGTTGGGCAAGGCAGTGATTACTTTCGCCGGTGGAAATCTCTTCGAAATACATCCTTTTTGCGCATATGCTAGACGAGGCACCGGCTACAGTTGGCAGTGCCCTCAATGACTTCACTTCCATGGCCTCAGACACTTTTTATTGCCTTAAGGTCTCGTTTACTATTTCCTCTCAGAGTCTCTTCCTCTTCCCGTTCGCCCACAGACTCTCTTGTGCGAGCCACAGCCACGAGGGACCCTTTCGTCTGTCATTACGGCCCCTGAATCTGGCGGGACTATACTTGGCGCTCGAACTTGTCTCTGTGTTAATCGGAGCTGCTCTATTCTCCCAACTCGATTGAGAGAGATCTGCCTCAAGTCCTTGATTCCAGGTAAACATAACGATATGATTGCTATCTTATTTGTCAATATATTCGTCTGTCCTGCTCAAGCCTAGTAACAATCACGACAAGTGGTAATTATTCCGACAGATTACACGCTATGCAGGAGTGATGGATTCAGCTATCATGCAAAATTAACAAAAAGCATTTGCAATTAATGATTCAATACAAAGTAGAGTCATATAATGTTATAGCGCATACATTTTTGCCTAATCGACAAGCAAACCATGAAATG